TTTTTTATTCTCCCAAGGGTTCATCTGTCATTCCGAAACTGCTCTTTCACTTGTAACTTCAGAGCAAAACCAACGCATATATGTTTTCTAAAGGTGGGGGGGAAAGAGAATGTGAATTTCTTCTCCTAAAAAGTGAAAGTCAGGACTTATTGCATTTCACAGATTATTACATGAATGCATAGGCTTTGGGTCAGGCTGTATCTCTGGGAAACAGGAGTTTTTTTTCTCTCTCTCTCTCCACTATAAAATACAACTTAGGAAAGTAATTTACACCCTGCTCAACATTCCATTCAGGTTGACGGTGTATGGGACTATACACAGAAGAGGCCTCTAGGCACTCACACACCAAAAGCAGGACCAGATTAGTTTGGTGACAGTTCTTATAGGTGGACTATTGCTAGGAGCAAGGGGGATTTAAAAAGATCCCAAAGATTTCATATGAAATGTGTGCATCTGTCTAACAACTTTCATGCCAAAGGAGAATAAACAAGAGAAATAGATCAGTTAATAAGACAAAAATGTCAAGCGTAGACAGGCATCAACAGAAATTATAGTCTCTGAAGAAGCAATGGCAATATAACTGCTCAGATGACAAGAGAAGGATGTTTCTGTGGATGAGACTAATAACATTTTCACATTGATTTCCTTCTGTTTGCATCTTTAAAGTATGTGAAATGTTAAACCAAATCAATGCTTGGAGAATAAAAGATACCTGAAAATAAAACTCAGAGATCTCAGCTTTACGAGCTGGGAGACTAGCTTCTGCTGGCAGCCATCCAGCACTCTGTGAGGCAGCTCTGGGAAATGTGCATCTGCATTTGGTTGGGGTGCGAGGGGAGTGTGGTCCACCAGAATCAAATATGAGTTTCCGAAGCTCCATTATCTTAAGCCCTTCAATTACCTGTGTGATTTTTCTTCCCGATCTTTTTGGATTTGCTGTGTGTGACAGATTTCTCTCACATATGTTAGGCAGGAAATTTTCTGCATCCTTCAATCCCACGAGAAGATCCTGAGCTCACTTCTTCCCCAAGCAGCAGCCAAGGAGGTTAAATAACAATGGCCTCTAATTATTTTCCAAAAAAATTAAAAACAGATTGTCTGATTTCCCTAACTGAAACCTTCCCTCAGTCACCCCTACAGCCAAGCATATGGGGCCAATTAGTCTATAACATTTTAAATTATAGTCATGCAGTCATTGAAAATCATGCTTACTAAAGCTTGTAATACAATGGAAAATATTTATCAAAAATATTAATTGAAAAAAGAATATGAAATGTTACACAAAATATTATCTCAACATTTTAAAATAATTTTTTACAGGCTTGTAAGAACTAATCAGATCTCTTTCTGTTCTCTGTAACACTCAATAGTTTCCATATTCTTCACAAATTAATACAAATTTTCTAATTAAAAATGTAATATTTTTCTAAATCTACAGGACTTTGGGTATAAAGAAAGAAATACACTTTAAATTTGAATTTAAGTTCTCAGAGGAAATTGTTAGGGAAACAAATTTCTAACTAGAATAAACAACTACTGCACTGAAAAAAAAAATTCGCCCACTGTGGTCTTTCCTCTGCCTAAAATTAGATCCAACAGCATGAAACATGGGACTGGGCACTATCAGAAGTCCTAGACAACCACCACTCGTGGAGCCACTCGCTAACTCACTCTGTGGCCTTGGACAAAAACCTATCGAATATCAATATAACTAATAAAAATTTACCAACCGATCTAGCCAAAGAATCGACTATCAGCAAAACATCAAGCAGGGGTGGGTTTAACCTGATTATTGATTCTCTGTGCATGTAGAGCCACATCTCTGCCTTCTTTCACCTGGGCAGATGAGGGAGAAAGCAGAATCAGAGCAGTCCCAGAGGCAAAAGACCCTCCTCAAGTTATGCCTTTCACTAGCCCATCATAAATTCCACTAGAATTTATGGACTTAAGATAGAGATTTCTGTGTCTGCGTTTTCCTCCTGTAAAATACACGTGCATAAAGATGTTGTGATGGGTCATCAATTTTCTTCGACATGAGCCCTGATGCAGTGTAGCAGGGCAAGGTGAGGAGGTAAATTCAAAGTAAAAATGATAGAGTTGAGTGGCTAGACTTGAAAAGACAGGGATCCTCTGAGTTTAGGGAAGAAAATGGGATATGTAGAGGGTGCGGGACCAAAGTTGAAGGAGATTGAGGATTTAAAACCAGTCATTGTGGAGAACAAGGTATTAAGTCTGGACAAAGAGTGGCCATACTATCAGAGTCTCCAGGTGATCAGCCAGCTCTGGGCACCTTATCCATATCAGAGGGTCCACTCAGTTGGAATTGAAAATAATTTAGTAAAAAGACTACTCGTGGAGGTAGGGGTAGAGTTAAGCCAACTGTGTTAGTCAAGGTCCGGTAAGGAACAATCAGTATTTAAACAGAGAAAGCTAATATAAAGAATGGTTAACTAGCGAAAGTGGTCACCTACTTAAAGAGGCTAAAACAGAACTCAAGGAGTCTGGAAGGAGAAAATGCAGAAAGCAGCAGCTACCTCTTTGGTGAAGGAGAGTGAACAAGAAAGCAGTTTAGAAGAAGGCCTCTAATACAGACCAAATTGTCTGTCTCCAAAATGCGTATGTTGGAGCCCCAACACCCAATGGGACTATATTGGGAGATAGAGTCTTTATGGAGATAATTAAGGTTAAATTAAGTCAAAAGGGTGTGGCATTAATCCAACAGGGTTAGTGTCCTTATAAGAGGAGTCACCAGAAAGGTCGCTCTCTGTCTCTCTCTCTCTGTGCACACATATAGAAGAAAGGCTGCGTGAGGACACAGAGAGAAGGCAGCTATCTACAACCCGAGGGGAGATAGCTCACCAAACACCAACTCCACTGCCACTTTGATCCTGGACTTCCCAGCCTTCAGGACTGTGAGAAAATAAACTTCTGTTGTTTAAGCCACCAGTCTATGGTATTTTGTTGCAGCCCAAGGGGACTAGTACAGCCTCCCGAGGCTGAGACTCAGACCTCTTTGGAGAGCATGCACACAGGAACAAAGAAGGGAGGTCCTTTCCTTGTAATGGCCTTGTAGTGTCCTTCTAACACCCTCTATTGACAAAGCTTCACATAGAACCAGCTGGCAAAGGAGAACCATTTGCAGGGATTTTGAGCTGAGAAGCAATAAATTGATAACTGGCAGAGGGACAAACAAGGCATACTGAGGCACTGGGAGACCAGCAAGAGTGATAAAACCTATGACTCATAGGCCTGAGGGAGGTAGAGGAAACAATGGTGCTCCAGCCTGGTGACTAACGGCGCCATGGGCTGTAGTCAAGAGATGAAGCCCTTACAAAAGCCAGTGCTGATGCGGGGAAGACATGCTCAAACATCTCCTTCCTAAAATCCTCTAATCTCTTGCCAGTGCCTCCCACTGTCTAATTCACCTGGAAGCAAGAGGGCGGAGAGGTGGACGATGCCATCTACATGCATTTTTAGCTTGAGTCTCCACAGCATCAGAACTTAGGACAAAGATTTGAGTGCAAACAGTTTATTTGAGAGAAGATCTCAGAAGGGGAATAGGGCAGTGAGACAGAGAAGGGAAAGAAGCCAATAAAGGGTATATTATCAAGCAAGTTAAAACTGGGCCAGATGGATTTCCAGAGCAACTCTGGACAACAGTGTAGACCACTGTCCTGAGGGTTAAGGGATAATTTATCTATCAGCTTTTATCAGTCATCAATTGAGGACTACTCCAGGAAGCATCTATTCCTTGACCTTCCTGGCCTGCTGTATGCGTAGAGCCAGTGGGCTTTAGCAGTCCAATAAATACCTTAAGCCAAAGTCACAGGTACTAGCTGTTGTCAGGTCAGCGTGCATGGAAATGCCAAGCGTGAGGACATATGGTTGAGGCACCAGAGTGTCTGCTACAGAGAATGTCAGCGAAGGGTTGAGAATGAATTACGAGATTAGCAGAGAACAAAAAACTGACAAGTCCACCCCTACTTTCCCCTGGCACTTTTCATGTGCAGATGAGCCAAAGTTGGGTCTGTGATTGCAGCTGTTGATCTTTCATTTCTGCTGTGGCTTCAGGATAATTTATAACCATCTATGATTTCAGAAGTTACTTCTTTGCAAACCTGCTTGCTGAACTCGTCACACAGGCGTTTCTTATAACCTGCAGAGAAGACCACCAGCCTGTATTAAGGCTGCAAGAAATGACTTCCAAAAGTTATAGGTGAGAAATCTGAAATGATAATGCACTTCTGTTCTGGATGACCAGTGAATTAAGCCTCAAAGACCTAGACTGTTTTCGGTAGAAGAACGTTTGGATAAACTGGGAGAAAATCTTCAAGCTAAATAAGAATGCAGAGTCACATAACACAAAAGATGACAGGACATGGAGAATTATACATGAGAAGCAACCAAGAAAAGGGAAGTGGGAGGTTATTTCTGGTAACATGGGTGAATGAGCAAACATAGGCCACCCCTTCCCATTCCCCAGCTGTAAACATATAAAATGCTAGACAAAACTTAATAATGAGAAGAAATATTGAAATGCCCATCTGATCTCAGAAAGAGATTTCCCTCAGAAAGAGGGAAATTCCAGTTGCCAGAAATAGGAAGAAACTTGATGTCAGAGCTGAGAATATGCACATGGGCTCTAGAATCAGGTTCCAGAGGTGGGAGCTAAGGCTTGAGTGCCCTCTTAGGGACAAGGATGTGACCGGGGCCTCTGCAAGATAAATGTGGGACTAAGATCCCTGCCAAAGGCTGCGAATCATGATGGCAACCCCACTATGAAAAGAGGCGTAGAAAACTCTGTCAGCTTACCTTCAAAAACGCGTGGAAGCTTGTTATCTGTTCTGAACGCTGAGAAGGAAATAAGTGGAAAAATCAGAATTAAAGTATATGACACATGCAGGGGTAGGGTTGTGAGCAAATACGACCAGCATGATGCAGAAGTCCCAAGCTGATTGATTTACATAAAAACTGGCTCCAGAGCTATGAAACCTCTGGAGGCCCCCGTGGAAGGGAAAACAGTGTTCCATAGAGACACTCCCTCAGTCCAGGGTCAGTGGAACTCCCAATGGGGAAGAACACTGAAATGAGCTCATGATTAAAATCACATTATAAAACTCACAAAGGAACAATCCATCGTGCAGGAATGACAGCACACACATCAAACGGGAGGATTAGCTATCCCATGAGCTTGATATAAATAGAATATCTGAAATATTATAAAACAGTGTTTTAAATTATTTAGAAGTTTTTTAAAAAGAAGAAACATGCAAGAATATAGCCCTGGGTGGGGGTGGGGGTGAGGGGGCAAGATGATTTAGAAAAAATTGAACAAAATTTCTAGAGATAAAAAATATAGCCAGTTAAATGAACATTTTAAGGGATAAATTAAACAGTAGATAAAACATAGCAGAAGTGAGAATGACTGAAACTAGAAGATAGAGCTGGGTAAATTACGTAGAATATAACACAAGAGATGAAGATATATAAATTATGAAAGAGGAGTTATAATGAGAAGGTTTAGCTTACATTTAATAAGAGTTTCAAAATGAGAAGATACTAAGGATGGGAGATAGACAATATTCAAAGTAATGATGTCTGAATTTTTTTAATATTTAAAAGACATGAGTACCCAAAATGAAGAAGGATAGTAAGTCCTGAGCACAATAAAATGTTTAAATCCGCATCTAGACACATTCTAGTAAAACTGCCAAATATTGAAAACAAATAGAAACATTTTAAAGCAGTAGACAGAAAAAACAGATTGCTGTATCAGATGCACCTGGTGTGCTGCCACACGTTCTTTCAGCTGTACCTCTGGGCCCAGCTGTGGCTGGGTGAATAGTTCTGTGTGGCTTTAACACACCTGGTGTCAACAGATCTTGCCTCATGTTTGTGTTGCCCATCTTCACTCTCTGCCTTGGTGCTCCTGAGTGCTGGGGATGTGGACAGGAGCTCTCTCATCTGAACAGCATGCAGTGTGGAGGAGTCAATACTCCCAGGGGCAACCTGTGAGCTGGTGAACAAATGCTCCTACCTCACCTTCTTTGGATGAACAATACTGAGAGGCATTCCAAATGCTTTTAAGAGGTCCCAATGAAACTAAGACAGATCCCCACTGTCCACTAGGTTAAATTTAATGATAGTCTCTTATATTAGCTTTTTCTCCCCTCTGTCCTACTCTCCCCGGTACTCACTTCTGCTTCTGGGATCACCTCCCAAATAAATTGTCTGCACACAGTACTTGTTACAGGCTCTGCTTTAGGGAACCCAGGCTAAGAAAATTACCTGAAATAGGACACTAGTGAGATTTCCCAAGAGCAAACATCAAGATGAAAATATAATGGTATAATGTCTTCAAACTGTCGAGGGAAAATCATTGTTAACTTTGAATTCTATACCCAGCTAAGGTCTCATTCATGTATAAGGGCAAAATAAAGACTTTTTAGATAACAAAAATTGGGGAGTTTTTACTCTTGCACAGGTTCCCAATGAATGAACTGTTAAAATATGCTCTTCAGATAATAGGAAATAATATCTGAAAGGAAAGAGTTCAGTGCAAGAAGAAAATATAAGCCATGATTTGGTAAATATGTGGACAAATCTAAATGTGTGTGTGAACTAGACACATTACAGTGAAATTGCCAAACATTGGAAACAAAGAAAAAAATCTTGAAAGTAATAGAGAATATATAATTTCCCCTTTGGTTCAACATTTGGCAGGTTCGATATAATGTGCAGACAGATGATAGACAGATAGATAGATAGATAGCTATCTGTATATACATACATATATATATAGAGAGAGAGGCTGTATATATACAGGATCCTGGGTAATTGATATATAAAACTACATATATTATTAAACATATATACTATATATTCTTTTATATGTAATAGAATGCTATATACATATACTATATATTGTGTTTTTATATGTGCATATATGTAGATATATGCACACAAGTATATTATATAACAATAATGAACAAATATGGGGGGCAGTTAAAATGCTAGGGAGAATTAAAACACTGGAAAACAACAACATAAAAGTATGGAAGAGGTAAGCTGGAGATAAAGTTTTTTAAAGTCCTCAAATTGTTTAAGATAAAGGTAGAAATATTTATTAATTTTATACTCTGTCATATCAAATATGCATAATAAAAACAAAGATAATTATTAAAAATATTAATAGAATGCATAGCTTCTCCTTGATAAAGAAAAATAAAATAAGTGAGATTATGATGATATATTTATATCTCATTTATTCATTCATTTTTTGTCTTATCATTTCTATAAACTTTGACAGGTAGGAGACTGGAAGGGAGCTTTTTTTCAGGAACAGTACATTTAAACCCCGTTTCTGATTTTGCTGAGTTGGTTGGTGGTCAGTGGGATGAGTGGAGGCTGCAGGGAGGTTTCACCAGCTACATCCATACTTCCTCCAGCAAGGCACAGAAAGTGACGTGACTGGAAATGTCATGATGAATGTAAGCAAGTATCTGAGGAAAGCAACTTGGGTTTCTTATTTTATTTATTTTCTGTAAATGAAGTATGAGTCACCATTTACCATTGTGACCTTGGATAAGCTAAACTTGTAATAGAAATGGCAGCTTGGGAGATGACTATGTTTCTAAACCTACAAAAATAATATAAAAATATAAAATATATAAAAATATAAAAGAGTGAAAACCTGTCCAACAAGAGAGCTAGGTACAACTGACAAAATCAGCCCTGCAGGACTTGCTGACTATGAATATTTATCATCCATCACACTGAGGATATTAATTATTTGAACATTTGGGTGAAAAATGAGTTGAAATTCATATCCTAACCAGGATGTCATACATATTAACAGAGACAAATTTAGGACTGATTTGAATATTTTGTATTTTTTTGCTTTTAAGAATCTTTTGAATAGTAGGCTTGTGTAGAAATGAAAGACAAAGAAGAGAACAGACAGAAGTGCTTTTGTGTAGGAATTCTTCTCCAGCAGGTTTGTACCAGCCTCATTTCTGCAGACTCAGTAGTCTTTGAAAGACAAGACACGGGAAACCATTTTGCTGTACAATGAGATGAATTATTTGGACTTAAGACATGTTTCTTTGCACAGTTGTTACAGACCAGGTATCACATGTCCCGTAAGGGGTGACAGATGTGTCTCCTTTGTCCTGCTCAGCGCAGGTTCTCCCAACACTAGGGAGCTCGGCAATAAGTTCACCTTTGGAATCTCAGCGAAGACTCCACACTGGCCATGTTTATGGTCGGTGTCCAGGGCTTTCTCCACCTGCACATATGTACCCCAGTGTTTTGCACCTTTCACTGGACACTGATTCTACTCAGGCTGTGCAGTGTCAGGTTGCATCTAAATCAGAGAGCAGAGATGTCTCACTCGCCACAGCAGGTCTGCGTCTGCGTCTTACAAAGCATGTCTCATCGGCCAGAACAGAAATCAGCACCAGGACTCACAGCGCTGCTGTTGGTTCTTCTCCCTCCCTGTGGATAGGAGCACAGTCCAACAGCACCCTCAAACAGGAAAACCCCTCTCTTCACACATTTTGTTGTCTTCAATGTATTTCTAATTTAACAAAAGACAAAAGCTACAGACAAAAGCAGAATCGTTGAGTGGCTCATGGTCCTAGAAGAAGATTAGGAAAAGAAGTGGTGTAGCTTTCAAAGCAATAACTAATTAGAGCTCTGGCTCTTTTAATTTTCTGACATCATGGAAAGGGGTGGGTGGGTTACCCTGGGTGTAGATAAGAGGTCTTCAGAGTCCTGGGGAAGCAAAAGCCCCAATGAACTGGCACCAGTTACTAAACTGGGAATAAGGCAAGGCTGTTTGGTCAGAAAGGGCTACCTGCTTGGTTGAGGTGGGCAGCCATGGCGAGGACCCCTGAGCACCTGGGGCTCACCAGGAAGAACCCAGAAGTGGCTTCACCCAGAACAAGGAGGAAGTTCTGAAAAAGCACAGACTCACTCAGAGATAAAGCTGGTGTTTTGTTCTGTCAGCACTCCCGACATTCGGGGCTCCACCCCAGGCAGGCAAGCAGAGCATCAGGCGGCGCGGACTGAGCAACTCGACCTCCAGCATCCATTGCACCCTACTCCACAAACAGCAGGCTCAGGGAAAGTTTCACAATGATTAGGGCGAAAGGCATTGCTGATATTGTGGTTTCTAGAAGGAGGTATGACTCGTATAAAATGGTTATAAGACCAAGAGAGTATGTGATTAAGCACCCATAAACGTGGCACAAGAAGAAAGTACGGGGGGATCAGACAGGCGGTCAACACGAATAAGTGCCGATCACCCAGGGACAGGGGCACCTGAGCACAGGAACCCAGCGTAAATATCTGCTTTATGTTTTCCAACCCCAGCTACTGGCCTCCGGCCTAGAATGGGCACAGATACATTCTTTTTTTTTTTTTTTTT